GAGTTCAGCGCAGTGGGCGTGCTGCAGGCCTGCTCTACATCTGTGCCAGGCTGAAGGCAGAGCTGAAGCGAGAGCTCTGTTCCCAGCTGCTTGGCCTGGGCAGCTCGGGGCACGTGCAGGAGTGATGCCGGAGCCCAAAGGGTCTGTACAAACAGAAAGGGAGGCACCACATGGGTGCTGTCACCTCCAGGAATGACTTTTTCTCCATGGTGCCTTTGAATGAGAAGGCGTACAGCAAGCATAGAGCCTGAACTAGGCCCCTAAATGCTTTTTGTGCTAAACCTGTCAGCTTCCTGAGGTTACCCAAGAGAAAGCTGACAGCTGAAGAGAAGATTTGTAAAAGGATTTTTGAGAGCAGGTAGCGCTTCAGCTGTGCTGGAAAGACAAACAGGTCCATGTCTTTTTTTCCTCCCCCCCTCTCCCCACTGGGGAGCCCGGCAGTGGACACAGCACTCCAGGGGTGGCCTCCCCAGGGCTGAGTCCAGGGGAAGGGTTACCTCCCTCGAGTGGCTGGCAATGCCCCACCCCATCTGCACAGACGCATGTGCGCGCACACACAGAGGCAAAAATGCACATGTGTGCACACACATGCACATTCACATGCTCATATGCACACACATGCACGCAAACACACATACACACACACGCGCAAACATGCATGCACACAGCCATGCATGCAAAGGATCAAGCACACGTGCACACACAAGCACCTACACATGCACACATGCACACACATGGACATTCATGCACACACATGTACACACTCATGGACACTCACATGCACACAGACATACTACACACACAGAAGCACTCCCACAGACTTTTTTTTTTTCTTTAACTGAGGAGCCCAGCAGTGGACACAGCACTCCAGGGGTGGCCTCCCCAGGGCTGAGTCCAGGGGAAGGGTTACCTCCCTCGAGTGGCTGGCAATGCCCCACCCCATCTGCACAGACGCATGTGCGCGCACACACAGAGGCAAAAATGCACATGTGTGCACACACATGCACATTCACATGCTCATATGCACACACATGCACGCAAACACACATACACACACACGCGCAAACATGCATGCACACAGCCATGCATGCAAAGGATCAAGCACACGTGCACACACAAGCACCTACACATGCACACATGCACACACATGGACA